CAGCGAAAACACAGATTCATCGTAATCTCCACCTCACAGCAGGATTTAAATGGCTTGGGCACACTCGCGGCCCATCCTGAGGACATAAAAAGGGGCAGGTGTCTCACAGCAGTTCCACGAACTTCGGTCAAGCCCTGCCCTCACCCCTGGCTTGTCCCTGCTCTGTTCTGAGCAGTGCTTGGCCTCAAAGCACCAAATACTATATATCCATCCTAAAACGGGATGGAGAGCAAAACCGCATTTTTCAGAAATTACCACTCTGCCACTTCTGCGAGGAAAGTGAAAACAAGATTATGCCGAGACTGGTGGCAAAGCCCTGGGCTGAGGGAGCAAGCCGTCAGCAGCATTGCTCTCTCCTACTTCTCCCGAACACACGAAGTTAGGCTTGCTTTCCGTACTACATACATACTAACACCGCAGGCTTGCTGAAGACAGACAAACATGCCACTACCAACAGGCTTGACAGCACGGCTAAGCGCCAGGGGCACCCCATCGCCTCCACTCGACCCCAGGCGTGTGTGAAAGGTGGCACGTGGCCACCGAGGCTGCTGCGGTAGGGTCACTGCAGGTGCCCAGAAGGGGCCCCTGCCACCCCTCACCACGCCCTGGCTGCACCAGGAGCACCCCGCTGCTTACTCAAGCAGCGCTTCCTGTTTCCTCCTGGCTGTTCTGAAATCGTACTCGCCCGCTTCGTAACCCTGCCCTCAGAGATGAGAACTGTGGCTGGTGGACAAGCCCTTTGCGCTTTTGAAGATGACAACGAAGGAAGCCTACAGAGAGTGTGGCAGAGCAGAGGGGAACAGGCGCGAAAGCACAGAAAAGGGAGTGTGCTCTGGAGGACCTCGGCAGGGAACCGGGGTAGAACAACAAGGCTCACCCAGAAAGGAAGGAAACAGCAGAGAGAGAGGAAGGACATGAAGGGGAAACGGAGCAAACGAGCTTCATGAAAAAGCACATTAAAAAGATGATTGACAAAGATGAAAAGGAGGGTGACAAAGAACAATAAGCACTATGGGCATTTCAAGTTATTTTGTTTTTTTTAATCAAATGACATTTGATGCCAAAAAATTATGTAAAACCACACTGTTGTACCTTTAGTATCAGGAGCAAGCAAACAAGGACTAGAAACTGGAGAAGGATGTACACAAATGAACCTTGAGCATGTTGTATAGTCACACAGCATACAAAGAAAAACCTCTTCCTTCTCTCTTCTGTCCACCTACTGCCATTTTCCCTTCCGCTAACTTTTTTCTATTTTTCTACAGACTTCTTAGTTATGCTTGATTTCTACAGCTCCCGCCCCCCCTTCTGCATTTTCAGACATCTTGTAAACTAGAGTCTAACCAAAACATAAAAGTGCTGAGATAAAAATTAAAGTAAATAAAACCTGATTATAGTCAAAAAGTTTCCAACAAACATCAAAGTCATTAATTACTGGACTACCTGGGGAGGAGGGAATCTAGAGCAGGTTATAAAGTTATTTTCTTAATTTTACTTGCAAAATTGTGTTCAATTTTGTACTGTTTCCTTTATTTCCTCAATACTTTCTCTCAAATGTTAAACAGGTTCAGAATTTCTTCTGAGCAAAATAGCTTTGTAATGCTGGAAGCACTTACTAGAAAGTGATATACTTTAATCAATTTAATTCCTGCTACACATACAAAGATGAAAAAAGTCGTGAAATTACTCGCCTCCTCATGTACAGCATAGTTTATGCTTCTGCATGTATTTTTACTCCTGTACGACAATGGAACAAGATTTGGAAGTTAACATCTTTATGAAAAATAGTATGCACCACTTCTTCTGTACTCACTTTAGTACTAAAGTATTCACTGTTAAATAAAAGCTTTTCTGATTTTATCTTAAGTATTTTGCATACACTCAATACAATGGGGCAAGAGAGCTTTATCTTGTCCTCCATTTTGCATAGGTACTCAAAGGGTTGTGTAAAGTCTTACAGGAAAAGAGAGACTAGGCAAGTGACTATGCAAAAATAATGATCTACAAATATTTCAACCAACTATTAATCATATTCAATTCTATTTACTATCCCTTTGTTATATTTGGGTTGAAGTAGCAGCTTCTGAAATATGCATATTTTATAGTGTATCCAGAAAAACATCAGAGATGAAGCTCAGCAGGCCTAGCCAAGGCTCCTAGTTACGTGGCTTCTCTCTATTAAGCAAAATGTACAGAAAGATCCCTATAGAAGCCTGTAAATTCAACAGCAGTGTCAAAAAAATTCAGGTCGGTCAGTCTTGTATACACAAGAAAACACATGGTTCTGCACTTTGGCCAATAGGAAGGGCGAGGTCTGGCAGCAGACAGACATTGGGAGTAACTGGCTCTGCACTGCAAGGGTAGCTCTGGAGCTCTACGCTCCAAAATCTGCAGATCAGACTCACTCAGATGTGAGGGGAGCCACATGCTTTTCAAAAAAGAAAAGCCTTGCAGGGGAAGGAAAAACTGGGAGGAGCCTGGCTCTCACCTGTGTTCTGCTCCCTTAGTCAGTACAGGTGCAAAGCAGTCAAGTAATTTGGATCTGCAAACTTTATCAAGGACTACAGATGAGATATATCCACCATGACTAAAATCTTGCAGGAAGGTTAAATACCTAGGAGTCTGGACAAAGAGCAGAGCACTGAATATTCAACCAGTGTCTATCAGAATAGGAAGACAGCTATCACTCTGCACCTTACAAAGGCCAAAATCTACACCTACAAAAATGCAGACAGCAGGCAATTCTATAAACTCAATTTCTAATGCATTCTTTAAAATTTATCTTAGAAGAGATAGGGGATTAGATTCTTTGCATCCTTTATTAATTTTCAAGCATGGAAATGGATCTGAAAGAAATATACACCACATAAATAAGGACAACTCATTAAGACAGCATGCTTGATCGTTCACCTTGAGAAAGGCTCAAACTTTTCAATTCTTTGTTTTTTTTCATGCAAGCTGAAATGATCTACAAAGTCTGACAATCCCCTTCCCTTATTTGTTTTTAAAAGGAAAAAGTGTGTACTTCTACACTTGACATTCCCCATGGTACATAGGAAGTACTTCACAACAGTTTCCCCTCTTCCGTCCATCCCCAGTGTGCTGGCACAATGGTACGATAACAATCACCAGATTTCAAAAACCACTCAAAGGTTTGGGGTAGCTTTTAAAAATAAATAAAACTATTTAGTCAGATAGAGAATAGTGGGGTTTTTTGGATAATTTACACAAATTAATATGATCACATTCAATTTCCTAAAAATCTATACAAATCCACCACCACTTCCCTTGTAAAGCATGGATTTCAAGTAACTACACAAAGCTCTATCAGACAGCCTTTCACATACAAATTACACAAAATAAGACATATACGCAGTAACACATCGGGGACAATGTAATCCTTCTGACTACTTAATGGTCCAAAAATAATAAAAGTAAAGTAATTCAAAAAAAGCTAGTTTTCAGTTTAATTGTTGGGGTAGAATGTACTGTGGGTGGTGGTTGCCTAGCAGCTGCTTTTGCTTTGCTGGCCTGACTTGCTCGGACTGCAGTTTCTAGACGTGTTTTTAATTCAGGAGCAGCTCCCATTACTGTCTTGAAAGCATGTGGGTAAAGTGGACCAATGCGCATTAGATTCTGAAGTGCAAATTCATGAAGATCCTTAGATGCTGTAGATGCAGAAGCAAAGGCATTTTCATTCAGTAAATAGGAGATCAGAGTTGGAATGAGAAGGGCAAGCAACTGGACTCCTAAAAGTGAAAGAAAAAAAAAAGTAATAACCATATCAGAGAATACAACAAAAGAAAATTAATTTTATCAGTTACCAGACTTGTAAGGGTAATTCGGTTTTCAGAATTGACAATAAACATTGTAATTAAAAAATTATCAGATAAAAACCAACTGAAACGTAGATGGTTCCTGACCTTTGGTCATTCAAATCTTTCTTACCACGATTGTGTTTCAGACTCCTATTGTTGTTCATCACAGTTATTTTGTTCCTAACACATCTTCAAAGATGCCTTGCACCATCTGATTTCAGATCATTGATAAGAGATCATAAGATGTAGAGTGCCCATCATATCAAAGGATTTCAAAACACTTTTCAGGCAGACAGAAGTGTTATTTAATTGAAGCTGAATATCAGCCTCCCCAGTGAGCATAACAGAACCGCTATTAAAAAAACTCCAGGACAGTTCACCGCTGAATTACTCCATTCTGGAAGACTCCAATGCAAAAACTAGCACCGCAGCTATACTTGGGCTAGCATGAACTAGTGAGGCCACAGCCTAAAATGGCACAGGGATCAAAAGGGTTTATCTTTAGAACAAAAAAGCAGCTGAACTTCAGCAATAGGGCTAATTTTGGTATCTAGCAAGGATACAAGTATGCCTTTGAGATGTGTAACAGGTTAATTGTAAATTTTAAGCTCAAAGAACTTAAACACTAATGGTAACTCATTTATCTAGAATTTTGTAGGTCATCAGAGTATTAATAATTTTCCCCTGAAGGTTTTGACTAAGTTCAAACTCATGGGGTGATTGTCTCCAGCCAACATTAGCAAAAATCAGATGTTTTGTTTCCTCATTCGCTTCAGTTACTCTCTCATTTCACATGTGTTTCAAACAACTGTGCCAGAAGCAGAACGGGGCTCAAGAAAACATACATTTAGTGTTTTATCATCCATGAAGAGAAACATCAAGAGGGAGTGGGAGGGGTGGGTGATTGGGGACAAAAAACCCAAACCCACACAAACCTGACAGTAATTTTTTTACAAGGAGCTTTATCAGCATTTAAAGCCGAATGTCTCCAAAGTAAGTCTTTAGGAAAAACATTGTTTCAGTTATTCTCTAACTGAACTTAAAGATAAATTATAAATACTGTATTCTATCTAACGCAGCAAACAGGAGGCTCCATCTACAATCAAGATATTCCGACCAGTACAATTCAATTTCTTGGGCTTTTTAGATGAACTTGTTTGAGCTCATAGAAGCAACCTGATAAATGTGATTGAGTCTGCTAAAATAAATAAAAGCTAACAATGGGAAAAAGTTAATTTAAACAGTGTGAAACATTTACAAACAGAAGAAAACATCACCCACTACTGCAGTTCATGTTTAGCTTTTTTTTTCCCCTGCAATCACCAGAAATGCAAAGGCTACAGCATATCATACTGTATGTGCTATACGAGTCCATGTATACAAAAGTTCTAGTACTGGAATTACAAAAGCATGTTGCACAGACATGGTCTATTTGTCACTATGCCATCAAGTTCCTAACTGCAAGATTTCTAATGTTCAATATCTTATTTTACCATTACATATTTCTCTATAAAAAACTAAATACTTACTATTCTGCTCCTCACCAAGGGCAACCAATGTTTCAAGGACTTTAATTCCTTCCTGGACTGCTAACAGCTCCAGGTTGTTGTTCGGGCGGCTCCTTTCCACAGCTTTCAACTTCTCAACCATGATAGGGGCCAACGAATGAATGTATGGAGTTGACAGGGCACGATTGGTGTGTTGGAACACAGAAAGCAGAAGCTGGTAACACTTGGCTTGAACCTAATCAGATCAAGATAAATACATTGTCCTGAAAGTTATTTGTTAACTCAGGGAATTCTAATAAAATCTCTTATCTATGTATGCGAGATACACGTGACACTAAAAAAAAAAAAGACCGCTGAAGGGGAAGGAAACATAGTCAACAAGAGGACAGCAGCACACAGCTCATCTGAGAAGATAATAATTAGCCCAGTTTTCAATAAAAGGAAGGCCAGTTAGAAAAAACATGTAGGTACTAAATAGCAGTAACAACATGAACTCAGAGAAAATAAAGGAATAGTTTATGTCATACAAGTCAGTCACACAGATCCACAGAGAACTACATCTTTAAGTCTCAGAACTACCAGCACTAAGAGTATCTGCATCTGCAAAATCATGAAATGCTATTCCAATCTCAGAAGGGTAAAACAGCCCATAAAAATGACTCAGATCAAAGTGATCTTCCTGCTCTAGCATGAGCCAAGGCTGTATCCAAAAGTGGCAGGGCTGTTCACCCTTCCTTCTCATTCTCCATCTTGTGCTGGTAATAGCATAGGAGTGTACGTGTAGCCATACAGTGAGCTGGATCACAGAACCCTCTCCTTCTATTTTCTTTTTCCTCTCCTCCTCTTTTCTCTAGAAAGCAGGGATTATTAAAGTCAGCGTTTGGAAAAATGACTCACTGATGACCTTGTTTAGACAAACTTATGAATGCATTTTATTTGGGTGTACAAATCCTCCTCCAAAATCCCACACAAATAACGCAGAACTTTTGAAAAGGTGTAACTCCACAACAAATACAATGATAAAACATTGCACGTGCTTTCAAACTGCACTCAAGTCTGAACAGGATGAGTTATTGAGCACATGCTGAAGAGAAACATTGTAAAGGAAGTATTATTGAACACAATTATCTGTGAGGAGATCCAGGGATGCCTGGAAATATAAGATGTATAAATAAAAATACTGAATAAACATTATAGATAATAAAAGCTAATAGTAAGAAAATACAAGTTATGCAGCTTGGGTTACTGTTAAGCCACTAGTATACGTCTGCCAGTTTTCTACAAAACTCAATTTTTAAGGCCTCAAGTAATAACACTTCCTCTAATACCATTTGTATGCTTTCTAACAGAGCTCCACAGAAGAACATTTTCTCCTAGTGCCTTAACTCAGCATTATCTTTGACCTGTTTCAACAAATTATGCTTCTCTCTCTCCATACCCCTCCAAATAATTCCCTTCCCTTTCTGACTACATTCTTTAAACTTTACTCCTTATTACCTATTAAGATTATTAGCCTTTGAAACAAGGAGTAAAAGTCTCTTTTCTTACATGCATGCATAATTCAAATAAGAGTTTTATGACTGCATCTGACAGCAGAATTTCATCCAAACTTCTTTTGTTCTGCCTATATAATATAAAACTTTTGAATATTCTGCATTCACAGACGTCTACAAAAACTCCTGTGAGGTAAAATCAGGGCTTCTTCAAAGTGTGTTAAGGCACACTCATGTAAAACTTACTCATTAGCATTGAGAGACAAGGGTCTGTCAACTGAGGCCCCTTGTTGGGGCAAAATGAACTTGAGCTCAGCAGCCTTCTGGTTATTGCTATTAATGATATTTAACCTTTCAGATTTTTGCAGGTGGTAATAGTTTCAAAAATGCTCCTGTATTTCTAAAGAAATACCGCTGACTCATAAGAAGAGTTTTTTCCACAATCCATTCAATGCTTTTAGTACAATCTGTAGAATGCTTTTATTACAAACAGGTGTCTAGCTACTGACCCCAACAATGAGTGTTTCATATTTAAAAAACCGGAACGGACACACAAGTATTACAGAGTATATGTTCTGCACATCATCGATGAGAGTGAACACAGTCTGGGCTGCTGTCAAAGCATTCTCTGTGAATTACAAAAATAGTGGTAACTTCCAGCTCACTGACAGCTTTCCAGCAGGGCGGTGGGCAAAGATGTGCTTCTCTCACTGTTCATGTGTTTATACAGAGCTAAGAGAAGAGTACAACATAAAAGTTTCTGCTTAATACAACTGACACTTCCATTCACACACTAAAATTTTAAGTAGCTTTCCACTTAAGTCAAGCTTCAGAACCAACAGAATTTTATGTCCATGCTAGAAAACACCACCCTGCTGCAGAGAAGAATTACCAGTCTGAACAGAATTTTAAATGTCTCACTGTGAACTTAAACACACCAGCATTTTTTGCATGTTTTTCTTCTCAGGAATCTCTGCAGCGCTCGCTTGTGGAAACACTATGGATTTTTCTCTTTAGCTCCCACCTGCAGATATGTATACCCACTCAAATAAACTGATGTATACATGGCTGGAACAGTTAAGCTTAACTATACAGCGCATTAGCCTGCTTGAACAAAGTCAGCCTACAACTTCGTTTCCCTCTTCAGTGAGAAAATAATTCAGAAGGTAATTCATAAAGACAAACCAAAGAGCAGAAGTGAAATCAGGAAGACAGATGATTCACAATCTGTATATGTTCTGATAGTGACCACAAAATTTTGTTTTTGCACTCAAACTGAGTTTTGTATGAACAAGTAAAATAAGCACAGGTTTTGCACAAACAAATACAAAATTAATCAGAACTGTGAGCTGTAATTTTATCTACAGAAAAAGTGGTTTAGTTTGTTTTATAGAAGATGAGCATTAATGCAGAAATGTCACCATTGGCAATCAACCTTTTTGTTTGCTAAAATTTGGTATATCAAAGATTTTTTTTTTTTTTGTTCCCTTTTAAAAGCTGCAAGTCAAGAACCTGGCACAAGGCCATGAACACACATTATCTAGAAGCACTTAGTTTGGGTTGTTTTGCTCACTAAAGAGTTTCTATAATGCAGTGGTGAAAATTCTAGTTATTTAAACAAGCAGTATCAGTCTCTGAAGTAAGTGCATCACAAGGCATTCAGGAAATACGGTAAATACATCACAACCAGTTTTTCTCAGCAGTATATCCTTCACACTCTCATAACATGATCTTACCCAAGGATCACAGGAATTTAATGCACTTTTAAATCTGTTCATACATCCATTTTGTAAAGACTGCACTCCAATTATTTCAGTGCTTGCTGACCAAAGGAAGAGAGCAATAGCGGTAAGGATGCTTACTTCATCAAGAATAGGATTAGAGGATTCTGAAAAACAAAAGCAAACATACCATTAACTTACTCCAAAAAGGGTTTAGAATTTATTTAGCAAAAGCCAGTGAACACAGATAAACTCAAAAGAAGAAATAAATGTACTTGAAATTATTTGCAACTGCATATAGATATGCATCTATTTATTACAGAATATTGACCATGACTGACAAAAAGCTGAGCTACTCTATTCTAACAGTTGTTTAAATAAAGTCAAACTTTCTGAAACCTAAATATCAAGGAAAAAGCATCACCTACAGTTTCTCTGACCAAGTCATGTTTTTTGTTTTCCATATGTAAACAAGAGAGGAAAAACTTTTTTTTAATCCTTTCCCCATTAAAAATATACTTTGCCTTTTTTTTTTGTTTATTCCCTTCAGCTGATACAGCAGAGCAAGAAGCTGATACCCAGCATGGCAACAACTTTTACTTAACATGAGGTTTCACATAACAGACTAGCTTCTCCTGCTTTTCAAATAGTCTGTATTTGCCATTGCCATCCTTTTTTTCCTTGCACAAGTTGTCTTCACAGATCTCATTCATGAATTTACATCAACAGGAAAACAAATGTATCTAATTATTATAATATATATGCAAGTACTGTTCTGCTGGTTTTGTTGGTCAGATTGTTTCTGCTCTCCCTTGAGAGGTACAAAGAAACAGCAAATATATAGTCAGCAAAAAGAAAAATAGCATGACTGCCCTTTACAGATGTCAGCTGGTGACTCGATTCCCTTAGCTAGGATGTGAAACCTCACTTCAAAAAACTACTCCAAGCATTTTAAGTGACTTTTTTTTTTAATTTTAAATTTGTTCAAATTTTATTGAATTATGAGACTTGAAATTGGATGCAGTAGACCTTGCTTAGATTCTTCTGTCTATGATGTGTCCCACTCCACAGAAGATTGGAAAGGAAAACATACATTTTTGCAAGGAAGAAAAACATTTCAGAAGTCTGCAAAAAAGCCTAAAGCCAGTAACGCTTCCGGAAAAAGGGACTGGGAAATATTTACAGTAACAAAAGGTTGAAAGACAAGAGCTGATGTGACAAATCAAATTAGAAGTTTGACTAACACAAATCTACTGATCCTTCCCCTTCAGACATTTTCAGGATCATTTGCAATTACCTACTCACTCCCTCCCTCTCACATGAGTAACTCCATTCAAGTCTCTCTTCAGTCTCTGTAAATGGCTCCTTGGCGATGTAATAGGATGGTTTTTGGCTGAACTACCATTATGCAAATGACAAATTGTTGTGTGTCTCTTTTGCTAACTATGCAGCTGAGACTGTACATTTTTTTTTGCTTTTCGAATGGCAAGGCAAAGTACAAATGTGAACCAAAAGTAGTCGTCTGCAGTTCTCCAAAGAGACGCAGCAGATATCCTGCTGGTGGGTAACGTATTTTTTTGGCAGAGGTAGGATTTTTTCTCACCACTGAAGTCTTGTGACTGTATTGTGAATATCCTACTCCAGTATGAACCTTGCCACAATTATCCCTTGCTGTCTTCAGGCTCCTTCACTTTAACACTCACTGTTCATTAAGACTATATGAATTGTGTCAGCAAACACTTAAAAGATACATTGATTGACATTTTTCTTCAGTTTTAATTCAAGGTGTCGAGTTGATGTACTCTACATGTACAGTACTGAACAATTACAGTTTCAGTAAAGAGATCAGTTCCCCTACAAACACTGTTTTGGCAACTAAAATCTCCTTTCCTTCAAGCTAGCAGGTATTCCATGGAAAGATGAAAGGAAGGGTGGGAATGATAGTTTACTCAGGCCTTGCCAACACGCCTAGAGTTGCCAGTAATGACAGAAATTGAGGCATAGTCCAGGAAGTAGAATTCAGCTTCGAACTCCTTTAGATTTTATTTGCGAGACATTGAGCAGATGTCAGAAATATCAATCAGTATCAGAAAGTAGATCTCCAAATTCCAGAAACAAGTCACTAGCTGAAACAATGAAGACTGGTAAGGTCAGCCTGAGGAAAATCTATAGCATGAAATAATCACATCATAATGGGATTCAAAACGGAAGAGGAAAGTCTGAACGAGTACAGAAAAATACCCTACAGGAGGGACCTGGGTTGGGGGGAGGGCTGCAAGATGAGTTGCAAGAAGCAAGATTTCTAACAGTAGATCAATATTGTCAAAGAAAGCAGACCAACAGGGACAAATCTGGGATGGGAACTCCTGAGATGTAAATGTATTTTCTTAAAGCCATTGCCATGCTTGTCTTCAACACAATGTATTAAGCAACTCTGATTAGTTATGCTCTGTGTACTCAGGTCTTTCTCCAATTTCAATTTTACAAGCAGTTCATCACCACTTTTCATCCCAAACCCTCAGACACGAAGCCTATTAAACTACAGGCTTAGTAGTTAGTTAGTTGCCTTTTCATTACAGCAAAACCCAGTTCTCTCTTAATTTTAACACTCTTGAACTGGGAAACCACTTACCAGGTTGCGAATATTCCAAGATAGATGCCAGAGTGCTGCGGATAAGACCTGTCCATTGTTTCTGAGTTTCATCAGTCCTGACTGTTGGAAGAGTAACAATAGTTTTTATCCCTTGAAGAGCTGCACTGACTGGAGGTGGGACCTGATTATCTGTTGATTTTACTGCTGTTTCTTTCAATACTCTTGTAATCAGAAATAAGATAGTGGGTAAGATTGTCATACATCCTAAAAAGGGAAAAAAAAGAAAAATAAAAACCAACACAAAACAAAACAAGAAAAATAGAATTTCTGAAGTTAATTCCAACACGAGTGTTAAATAACCTCTTTAGCTTTTCCAGTATGGATACATATGGCTAGGAGACAAAGGAGACACCAAGATAATACCGTTCAATATTTTATCATCCAATGCATTTATCAGTACTACTGAAGTGTACCATAACACAAGTCATACAAGCCAAGACTTAAAATGTTGCTATCAATTTAGGAATGATGATTCAGCTATTAAAAAGTTTTGCCTTACATGGCGTGTGGTACATGATATGTATCATATTGAACACATTCAGAATGTTAAATATCTTAAAACAGGATCTACGTATTGCTAGGGTCCTATAAAGTAAACAACAAAAACACGAGGTCTGGAAACAGGTATCCAAACCAAGTTATGGCACTTTCCAAGGAAGCTAGTGCGTGGTAAAGCCCCAGAAGCAAAGCAAGGAAGCTATCTGGGTGTCTCACATCTTGGGCAAAAGCTGTAGCCATCTGGCTACTCTACATAGAAGACAAAACAATCCTCCTCCTATTACGTTGCTTTTCTGAAGCAATCAATGCCTACCCACATATTTTGTGCAGCCAGTCCTGCAGATGCCAGTTAGGCATACTCAAGGAATACTGGTTAGGTAACACATAACCTGACTTTAGACACATGGGAACTTTATTAGAAGGAGTTTCAGTAACACATGTAGATTTTAAGACCCTGCAGGACTGAAAGAAGGGTGCTGTTGGGTTCAGGTGTGTAATATCAATCTACAGTTCACTTCAGACAGTGAAATCTCTTTCCATAACTTTTCTGTGCCTCATCTTCCCACATCTGTAGAAACACAAATCCTGCCATTTTCCTACTTCTGGGAATGCTGTGATGATAAATACTCTTCCTGATCCTCTAGATTAGATTGCCCAGGATCTTGTCCAATGGAGACTGCAAGATGCTAATGTTTTAAAGAAAAAGGAAGAAATACAAAAACCCCACTTAATCACCGAAAGCGAAGAGTTTTCTTTTTTCAGTTTCCCTTACATGCAAAGGCTCAATTAACACAAAAGTTTGTGCATGTATTATCCCCCAATCCCTACAGATATCATCTGGCTACATCTTCTAGATGAGAAAAAAACCCAACTGTAGCAGTGTTTGTCAACTAACAATGCCTTCACTGGCCACTTGCCCAATGCTGGGAATCATGCCTTCACTCCAGTCAATACAGAAGTAGTACTGTTTTTGCCCACCTTCTCCTCCTCTGCCACCACCCCCACCCCATCCACAAAAAAGGGGGGGAGAGAAATGAAAAAGAACCAGGAATCAAATAAAAACAGTGCAGGACTCCAGATCAGCTTTTTAAAGAACCATAAGACATGAACTGGCTGTTTGAAGACACCCCATGTTGTGTTCTGAGCATGACTTTGTCCAAATATGTTATTTACCATGCACCTCATTAAGGAACCAACCTGGCCCTCATTAAGGGACCAATCTCTAACATGTCTTATCTATATCAGTGTGTGAAACTTCCCAGAGATCCACGAGACAACTCTTAAGCAATTTGTTCTCTGAAAAGCAAAACTCACAGAGCACAGCTTCCCATGCAATTGTGTCCTTTACCCCTGAATTCCACTCAGTGCAATTACCCTAGTTTACACATATCCTTTGTGACAGTCTCCCTGGGCAGAAGAAAGCTCCATTTAGTTTAGAGTCAAATTTGAGATGACTGGCAGCCAACGGCTGCAAAACCAAGTGTACCACAGCTGAATTATGCTGGTTTTTCCTTAGTAGGATTCTCTTTTCATCCAGCTGCTGCTTTTCATGAACTTCTCAGGAATTTAATTATCTCTATGTTCTTTTACAATATGATTAAAATTGGCCAAAAGTTTTCACAATTGTGAAAAAAGAAGGAAAAGACAACAATAAAATCATAGTGATATAGAGCTCATTTCCTCAGCAAACTTGTAGCACATATGCAAATTTAAAATCAAATAATTTCCTTTATGTTGGTCACTGGAAAAGCCTGAATTATTAATTTATTTTAGAACCTAAACATACTTTTTAATAGCTGACCCTTGAAGTATCCCATAAAAATGTTATTTACAGTTTGCTTTTAGTGTCACATACGTTCACTACGCTTCCCCTACAGTAACCACTCATATGTATTTTGTTACAATACCTTACCTGCTGGCGAACACAGAGAAGGCAGGTCAGACAATATA